AAAAAAAAAAAAAAAAAAAAAAAAAAAAAAGGCAAGAGTAGTAAATATTGCTGGGCAGACATTGGTTTCGCCATGGTAACTCTTAATGTGACTGTTGTTACCCTGGAAGTACCACAGTGCACCGTGACGGTGAAATGAGTAAACAGCCCCATTGTTAATAGGGGTACCTTAGGGAAGAATCATCATATGAAGAGTTATAACTGAGCAGCTGATGTGCAATAATTTCTATGTTGTAATCTGATACCTACCATTTTTTTTAAAGAAAAGTGGAGGAGTATTGTAAGATGTCATTGAAGAGTAATTATTTTTTGATTATGGCTAGCCAGAAAATGCAGACTGCTTGCTTCAATCTTCACTGCCAGATTGCTCATTTTGTATCTATTTGTGAAACCATATGCCTCACTTGAGTCAATAGGAGGATTCTGTTACCCTGACTGCTGAAGGGCAAGGATAATGCAGGTGCTGAGGAAGGCTGTGCAGGAGCAGCCAGCAGTTGTGCAGGAGCTGTGCACAGCATGGGTAGCTTCTCTGGTGCTTCTAAGGAACTGCTGAATTTTGGTGGCTTCTGCGGTGGTGCTACAGTGTGCCACACCTCCCACGGTGTTCCAGCTGGGGATGGCTGCTTAACTTGGCGTTGTGCAAGACCACGACTCTCTAACTGGGTGCCCTACACCCTGCTCTCTCTGCTGTGCCCAGTCAGTAATTTTCCTGTTGGTTGTTTATCTTCTAGTCTGAGTGACTCACACATGCAAAGATAGTTGGACTGGCTAGTGCTAAGACCAGGTTTGTTTCCACTTTCATAAGTGTGCTACTAGGTTATATTTTTTGAAGTGTGAATAAGAAGCTGAAGTAATGGATTGAAAACCTGAACTTGATCAGCCAAAAGATTATTGGAGTATAGTATAAAATAAACCTGCTGGGTTTAGTTTTGGGTTTTGGTTGTTTTGGTTTTGGTTTGGGTTTTTTTTTTTTTTTAAGCTTGTAGATACTTGATCCTGTAGGGGATGATATCTAAGAATATAACTGCTTTTAATCATATTAAGTGCACCATGCCAGGATATTGTAGACGCCATTTACAGTGTCTGGTCAACTGAGATATGCAATTTCTGTGTGTTGCCGTAATAACCATATGATAAATTGCAGAACTGTGTGATGGTTTGCATTTTTATCATGTGGGTTTTGTCCATGTATTTTAACTCTGTTCTAAACCATGCCCAGCTGACTTATTTTGAATACTGAAAATTATTAGCTTCATACTTCTGCTTTTTAGAAAAATAAAACACAACCTGACAAAAAATGTTTCCTTTGTTCCTCAACACCATTTTAGACTGAGAAACAAGATTGATAGTCTCTGCTCCTCTGCCACAATGATTTTTAAATCCAGAAAAGTTCAGTACAGTGGAATGCTTATAGGATATGTGTTAATATCCATTTCCTATAGATTTTCTCCAATCTGTGATGTATGGAGCTCTGTTTGCATTTGCTGGGATGAACTGCATAGCTCTAGATGTTTTATAGTGCTGAACTGTGCATTGAAATACGCTTAGTAGGCATTCTGATAAATCCATGTCCATTCATTTGAGACAAATGCTCAAATGCCTGTGCCCAGTGTGTTCCAGTGACTTACAGCTATAAAATGAGTCTCTCAATTGAGCAGCCATTTTCATGTTTTAAAAAGTCATGAAAGGGTTTATAAATGGATAAAATATATTCTTATGAGCTGTTCAGTATCTGAGTATGTGCTTTATGCATGCTTAGTTCCACGAGTATATAGTTGATTTTGGTTCTGCTTTCTCTAGCTGTGTATTGACATGTACAATTTACAAGTAAATGAATGGTTCAAAGACATGCTGCTTAAACTTTAGAAATGCAATGATATCTATGAAATCACTGCTAGTTAGAGAATAGCTACCTTTATTTTTTTGGCACTCGTTTAGGTTCTGTAGATCTGGAGTGAGTAACAGCTGTAATTACCAGCCAGGGGTCCAAACACCCTCTCCGTGACCCTGGAAGAACTGAGCTCTTGCCAGTAATTGGTCAGCATAGTTTGGTTTTATTTTTCCATAAAATTTATCTCTCTATGAATTCATCTTATGTCCATTTTTAATTAAAGTACACAAAAGTGGTGGTTATGGTTGCTGTTTTCTAATGCTCCCTGACTTTCTTGGGAATCTCCAGCTCCCCCATTGTAAACTGTGATCCAGTCTGAATAATTAGTGTATCTGCCAGATCAGCCAACACCCTTGCAGAAAATTCAAGAGGTTTCACTCTTGAGGTGGAGACTTCAGACAGACTGACTACTTCCTGCATGTTATTTCTCCTTTTATCACCCCCACTTTCCCCAAAACAGGAGAAGGAGCTGGAACAATTGCAGAAACCTTAGGAGAAATTCTTTCCCCTTCTGATATCAACCACCCACTGTTCCCATGCAAAGTATACGGGTTTTTTCCAGTCTCTAAGGAAAACGTTCTTGTTTCATCATCTGTATTAAGAAGCACAGCTATGTGTCTTACTGAATTAGTGTCTGGAGCTCATTTACCTAGTGAAGGGAATTAATAATTTTCAGAGGAAGGGAAAACACAAGAGGATGGAGTCTAATACAGGGAAAATAGAAAAGTCATAATAAAACCTAGACAGTAATTGGTTTAGATTTGCTTTAAACTACGTTCATTGTATTAGATCCACTCTGTGGAATGGGGTAAAAGTAGGCTGTTATCTGGAGTTGTAGGATTCTTTTTGTCTTTAAGAATGAAAATGTATGTATATGTGAAAGGTTTTGTTTTCCATACATGTGCTGGTTTTCATAGTATGATTCCATGGGATCATGGGTCTCACTGTGGATGGAGAAAATGATGTATATATGTGACTGCCTCACATAAAGTGGAAGCATCATCTCCTGGCTCTTATGTTTCTGTCATGCACCAACTCTAGTGCTTTAGAGATGTTGTGGATCTACTTTTTATGCTCTGAGCAGATGGCCAGCCAGTGCCCAGATCAACTGCCTTGCATGTCTGATGGGTCTAGGATACATTACACTTGCTACATGCTTGAATTGCATGTGGCTATACTGATGATTTTGTCTAGGGGTTTGTGGACATCCAGAAGTCCCAGGCCAGTGCTCAGCCCTGAGCTCTGTTACCAGGGAGGGGAGATGGAGGCAAAACTTCTTCCTGCTTTGCCCTTTCAGTAAATTTGTTTCTTTATTGCTGTACAAAATCCTATGGCAGTAGGATACTCTTGGAAGTGGGGATCAGCTAGTCTATGGGAGAAGCTTTTCTAACATGAGCTGGTAGCTGCAAAGATAGCTTAACAGATCTGTAGATCATTGACAGCTTTGGAAGAGCTCCTGCACTTCTAGTTTGGCAAGGGATGGCAACAAGATGACTACCAGCTAGAGCTCACATGCTGAGATTCCCTTGATACCTTTGATATAAAGTAGAGGGTTTTTCCTCCTGAAGTATCCTGTGTTGTCATAAGTAGGTGATCTATAAACACCTGCTTATGAATGTGTGAAGTAATCATTGCTATTGATTCTTTTTCAGGGTATGAGCATTATAGAGCAGCTAGATCCTGTATCTTTTAGCAATTACTTGAAGAAATACCATAATACAATATGTGGAAGACATCCTATTGGTGTATTATTAAACGTAAGTAACTCGATTTGTTGAAAAATGTAACTTTTAGCAAAACACATTTGTTTTAAACACAGTATTTCTGGAGTATTCCTTAGTTCTAAAATGGCAAGTCTTGAATTAATTTATTTTTCCAAGTGTTCTCAATTTGGTCTCCAATTTCTGTGTCTTGCATATAGACAAATGTAAGCTCTTAAGGCCTGAGGGTTTTCAGTTTCCTAAGGGAGATGAGGTACCATGTTCTTTTTGAATTTCAGTGAAATACAATCATTCACTTTCTCTTGGCCCTAAATGAACAAACAAATAAATCAATTTCCCTGAAGTACATACTTACTTCATTTGAATCAGTACTTAAAAACATGTATATATTTTTTCTGTATTGCTATTAGCTAGCTATTGTGAGTGCCTTGTTATGTCTGGCAGTGTTCTTGAGTTTTGCAAGTAGGGTGAGAGATTACCTCTGTAAGTGTTAGTGCAGTGCACCATTAACTCATAAATTAATGGCAATTAGAATTCAGATTAACTGGTACTTTCTAGATACTGTATTATTCTATGATGATGCAGTGCAGACATAAACCTGCCTTAACTTAGTTGTCTAAATTGGGTCACAGCTGCTTTACAGCACTGCTGGAGTGCTGCAGATTTGTCATATTGCTTGAGTGAATCTCATTGTATTTTTACTGTAATTCAAACCTGAAACAGGAAGCATGATAACCTTTTGAAAAGCGAAAACTTAATTAACTGGAAATGTAGTCTATATGGAGAACATACAGAAGAACCCTTTAAGGTGGAGTCTGTAGAAGTTTGTATGAGCAACAGCAATATTGGGGATGCACATAGCAAAATTCAGTACTATGGCAACTCTTCAAAAATATCCGACTTTTAACCTCAGATAATGATTAGTTTTGCAGTGAATCTGAGATAAATTCTGCTTTTTCACTTTTGCCAGTTGTCACACTTTAATAAATTATCTTAGTACATTCTTTTTTCTGTAATGGAAGAAATACAATCTAAAACGAGTTAGTGTTGGGGTTTTTTTCTGTTACATCTGTGTTTCCATATAAATCCCCTATGGAACTAAATGCATTGTTTCTAAAGGATCTGTTTGGAAAGGTTGTTTAGTATTGCTTTATAGAACTACGTGGATATAGATAGGTGCAGTGGAAGGAGCGTCAGTGAATGCAACAGTGCAGAAATGGGTTAGGTCCACACATTACTTGGAGTTGCTTATATTTTCACAAGAGATTGTGCAAGGACCCCTGGAGGGAGGGAGAGGACTGAGATCTAGAAAATGTCATGATTTCACTTTTTTTAAACAGCTATTTTTCTCTCTTCAGGCTATCAACGAACTCCAGAAGAATGGAATGAATATGAGCTTTTCATTTTTGAATTATGCTCAGTCAAGCCAGTGTCGAAACTGGCAAGACAGCTCAGTGAGTTATGCAGCTGGAGCACTTATGGTCCACTGAACTGCTGAATGCTCAGGGATGGCACCTGCACACACTCTGTATATGGGGTCCCAGCCTAGCCCTTACAAAGATACAGTCCCTGGTCTTTGGGTATACTGAAACCTCAAACTAATAGAACTCTCTTCTTTTCTAGTAGGTGTAGTCCTTCCTTAGTTTCAACTCATTTAAAAATGCTTTCTTGTTTAGGACAATGGAAGGAAGGCTGGTATTGAAACATTTTGTGATTTATTTTTTTTTTTTTTTAAAAAAGATAATGACTATAAAGGCATGGTGGCAGACAGTCCTTACAAATACAACATGTAAAGCATTTACCATATCCTAAATTTGCACTCTTTGCAGACCTGTGCACATGTACTCTGCTTTCAGAATAGTTTTGCAAGTTGTAAACGGAAAAATGGGTGGAAGCTTTTTAATAAAAGAAAAAAAAGGAAACAACGCATTTATAAATGATCCTGTATTAGCATATAATAAAACTCCAGTATAGTCAGTTACTACCCATGATGTACAACAGATATCTTCTATTTTAGTTGCTAATAAAGGGCTACACAAACCAAAATAGTCTGATTTAAACTTATTGCTTTGTGTTCTGTATGTGGCTGCTTGTCATTAACATCCTTTATCCTCAGTTGTTATGCTTGATAATTCAGCCATTCTGTAAAATACTTTAGAATGTATTTTATATTCAACATTTGTTATGACTCCTTCATTTACAGATTTTTTAATCTCAAACCTGCACTATGAGTTCAGCTGTGCAAAAGAATTTTAAAACCCTTTTGTATATTCTAATTCTTTTTGTTTTAAAATGATCTATAATATAAATAGTATCTTTTAGTATGCGATACAAATTCGTATCAGAAGTACACTTTTAATGCTTTTTATGCTCAGTTTTAGTATTAAATAGATGCAGTATTTTTATTTTAGATGACTTAAAATTAAAAACAAAACAGTAGCTTGAAAATTATACTTCTTAAGAGTATCTATTGAGTATTCCTAGGCCACAGAAGCCATACAGTGCTAAGCTTGAGTAATTACTCCTTAAAGATTTAATTGGGAGGGGAAGATAAGGCTTTTTTTTTTTTTTATTCTTATTTTTTATTCTTTGTTCTTTGACGGTGGGTAGAATTGTTTCATGTTCTTCAAACATCATCACATCCTAAGAGTTCTTGAACTTTCTTCCAGCCAAAATAATGGTGTGATTATTTGAGTTATCATTCCCGAAGACTTCCTTTTGTTCTAATAAGAAATGCAAAGTAGGATGGCAGTCCTGGCTCATTATCTAAATGGAGATTTCATTCCCTGATATTTCACCTGCTGTCAAGCAACCTTCTGGTACATTCAGCTTTTCTGAGTGTCACAGGGGGATTTCAGAATTCAATTTAGATTATCTTTGAAAGCTGTGGGAATTGCTGCCTGCAAAGTCTTCACCTGAAAGCATACCAGACATCTTGGTTATTCCTATTAAAATATCCTTTTGCAAACAGGCACTGCTTACACCACTTCTTGGCCACTATTTGAATAATAACAGGTGAATGCTCCATTTACAAAATGAACTACTTTGCAGATGTTCAGAATCCATCCCAAATGCCGAACTCCTTTGCATGTCCGTTCTTTTAGTTGCCTTATTGCTCTGCCGTGTTCTTGAACAGTCTCAGCAGCAGACAGGGAAAACAACTTTTTTATTACTTTTGACAGACCAGCAGGAAGGCTCTGCAGGTAAAACTGAATTGGTAGCCAGCCTTTATACATACTTGTCTGACTGTGCCTTATTAACAAAGTATTTTGATCATGAAGAATTTTTTTTTTTAATCTTCAGTGAATACAAGTTTAATTAGGACTCTGGTTTCTTTCAGTGTTATGCCAAATGCTTAGCATCATTATTGAAACACATAGTTAATTGGAACAGTTAAGTATATACTTTCTCCCTAAGATAAACATAGTAATTGGCTTCTGAATACAAATGCCTAAGTTGCATCTTAGTTCTGTAAGATAGTTTTAATAAAAAGAAAACATAACTGGAAGAGCTTCAAGGAATTGGTCAGCCATTTTACTCAGCACAATGTTATGAAATATCTTACAGTGAAAGCACTTCACATGTAAACTCTGTAATGTATTTCAAAATAAAGTTTCTAATTAAAATGGGAATTTCTGTGCCTACTAATAATAACCAGCAATGACAGTTCAGGAGCCCACTCAGAGAAATTTAAAGCTTTGTGAAATCTGCTCTAACTTAGAAGTATTTGTTGTATAAACCCTGTTTCTTTGAAAGCAGAAAATACCTGACTTCAAAGAACTCATCTTTTTTTTTTTTCTTCTTTTGGTGGGATTGGAGGGAGTTCACTTCAGTGCTCAGTTTCCTGGTGTGTCAGTTTAAAATATATCAGAAGAAAAGCAAATAATCTCCTGAAAAGATCTTCACTCAAGACTATTTCATTATTTTAGCTTTTCCACTCATTTTATTCACACTTAAATATACATTTGAATATAGCATTTTGTGTCAAAGAGTGTCTGATTTAGACAGTATTGAATATTCACAGTCCTGTTCACTTTTATGGAGGTTTCATATATGCATAGGATGACTGAGCTTTGACCATTCTTCTGGTGCAATAAATCCAGATAGGGGATGTGATTCTCATTTTAAAATTTTGACATTTTAGAGAAATGTTCAATGTGTGAAAATGTTGATTAAAATACTCCTTTTGTTTTCTGTTCTTGTATTGTTCACAAAAGCTTTATGGATTTTGTTTGCTTTTCTTTTTTTTATAATACTGACTTTAAAAAGTACTGCTTTTAAAATACTGTCTACTGAATTCTTAATTCTTCAGTTTGGCATTTTTGACATAGAAATGGAGCATAGGTCTTCCACTGTGTCAGATTTAGACCAGCAGAAGCAGGAGAATGTGCAGGTGTGAGCTGCATCTCACTGCAGGGCGGTGGAGCCGCCTCTTGCTTTTAACTGTGCCCGGGGACACGTGCCCCTCGTGGCGCCCGTTCCCTCTCCGCTTGCTGCAAGCTATGTGTTTTGGCCTTCGTCAGGTCATAGCCACTGTTTGGCTTGCTTTATTTATCTTAAAAAAATCTTAAAAAACATTGACTTTGATCCAATGTTGTTATTTAAACTGAACTCTACTCCAGTGCAGTATCCTTTCCTGGAGCCTTTGGAAATGTTGGGTTTGCCTGAGCATTTTTAAGGCCTTGCTCTTGCTCTGTTTCCCAGTCAGGGGCTCGTTGCTGTGTCTCAGGGGTCTGGATATTACTGTAGGCTTTACTCGGGAATTTCAAATTGACATTTTAGGAGCTGAAATGGGGGGTTTTCTGTCTGATGTCTGTACTCCTGGTACTTTGGCATGTTGTTCCAGTGGTTGGTATAGGTTTTTTTCCATTTCATGCTTGGCCTTTTTCCCTATTCCCTCAGGAAGAGTGCCTTCCTCTGCATCAAAGGAAGCTTTGTGCCTTGCTTTCAAATTACATCCGTCACCATGATTTGCAGTTATTTCCTGGGGCTCAGTTCAGTGTGCTAACTAGCATCTGATCCCCTTTCAAAAATTGCCCAATGGACAAATGTTTAAAGTCCCTTGTATAGGTAACCTTTTGCCTTCCTACTTCTGTGAGAAGCTTTCTGAAATTAACCCTTGAAGCTAGCCTATGAAAAGATCTTCAGTGTGAAGAAAAATTGAATTTCAGGATCCAGTGTAATGCACCCCAAAGATGTTTTGGTTCAGGGCCTGCAGTGCAGCCAGATGGCCTTTTCAATAGATGGTTGCAAAACATGATTTGGAATTGGTCTGTAGGGATGAACTGACTTTATTCTTTCAGTAATGCAAAATTTATTGCCTCTATTCTGATTATCTCTAGAGCTTTTTTTTTTTTTTTTTTTTTTTTTTTTTTTTAATTTCAGAGGGTTTTTTTCTTATTTGTCTAATTCTGAAAACAACTTGTCCATGCATACTGCGGACAGCTTCCAGATGCCTGGTGTCATTTGGGGGTTATCTTATTCCAGCATTGGCTGAAAACTCAGCATTGGCTTCTTCCTGTCTTGTCTGGTACCTATTTAGTATGTGTTAGGGTCTGAGACATCTCTCCCATTGCTTATGCCCCAGGAATGAACATGCTGTGCTAGTGGTGTCTCTAAATTATGTCTGTTTCTGGTTTTCGGTTTTGGTTGGTTGTGCAGGGTTTGGTAGAGGCTTGGATCTTTTTGAAAAAAAAGCAGAGAAATGAGGAGATTTGGCACAGATGGGGAAGAAAATGGTTGATTTTCCAATTCAATGTCAGCAACTGTTATACTATCCTGTTTGGGAGCTGACATGCTGCAGAATATTGCCCAGTGCAGCGGTGGGCTGCTTCAAAGGGAAAAAATGTTGGAGGTATTTTGTCAAGTGTGGCTCTGTTGAAGCTCAAGGGTGAGAATCATGTACTGATATCTTTAAGTTACAGGTAAATAAAGGTGCCTCAGCCTTTATGCAAAGGTGACAGATGTACCCACACACGCTCTCAGGTTTTTAAGGCAATGTGGTTCTCGGTGGATTTAAGAGAAGTAAATAATATGTCAAGACTTTGTGATCCCCACTGACATTAAAGTAAATATGTATTCCCTACAAACAGTTCTATATACCTTTTTCAAAGCCTGTGAAACCAAAATTCTTAATTACTGTTTTCAAACAAAAATATATCCTAATTCTAGTAGTTGTATTTAAATCGCATTAAGGAATTATTCAGGCCTCAGATCTACTGTGCGTGAAACTGGTAATGAAACTTTAGACTTCAGTGATTACAGTATCTGCTCTGTATAGGACAAAGACCTAAATGACAAGAGGAATAAAACATTGTGTTAAGCATTAAACTAGGAACTCTCCAAACCTAAACATCTTGGATTTCTTTTTTTCTCTAGTGAATTTTAAAACAATGAGAAATAACTTTCCTGAGCCCGTGACTGCAGCTTCACAAGACTGAAAACAGCAGTGCTCTTGGGTGTAGTCCCTTCTTTGGTAAAAGGTGTTTATTGTATTTTTCTGCTGAACTCTTGGAGCACAAAGTGCATGGTTAGCATCTTCGTGCCTGAGCCGCAGAGGACTGACTGAGCTGCTGAGCTGCATGGGCAGGTAGGGAAAGGCATCCCCTGGGATGTGTTGGTGATATTTAAATGCTTAAATGACTTTCCATTTGTCTCCACAAATTGTTACAGAGATTTGAAGAGTGAGCCTTTAAGCTCTGCTGTGATGAATCAGTGTTCAGCTCGTGCATATTTTTTATGATAAAAATCTGTTTTCCTTTACGATCACAGTCCAAAGAGCCAGTGTTACAAATAACCTGGCAGTAAGATGCCTGCTATAAATGGTTGGTCTGGAAATGCTGACTGGCATCACAACTACTTTCAGGGAGAAATCACACTTTCTGTACTGTGAGTAATGGTTTTCTGTTTGCAGGGCTAAGATGTAACCAAATGCTGCTTTCAAGCCGTTCTGAAATAAACTGACTTGGTTCTTGTCTCTAAGCACTTAGCTCAGCGTTTCATCCCTCAGGGAAGTTACCTGGGTGGCAGGGCAATGGGATGCATTA